AATTTGTGTATCAAAATGCAGCAATTGACATTGTTATAACTGAATTACAATCTTGTGGTCTTGTGCTTTTATATAATATGTAGTGACTACAGATGGTTCTTCAGTAATATGCTTTCTTGAGAAATTTTTGATGATCATCATTGTTTAACTGAAAATAACTACACTTCTGGTTTATCTTTGTTGGAAATTACATTAAAGAGAGTACTGAGTTGTATTACGTGTTCTTAATATTGCTTCTATGATTTATTAATATCAGGTGATATATATTTCAAAGAAAAAATTATTAATATCAGGAGCTTACTTTAGCAGATGAGAGTTGGAATTTTTTAATCTTCCCGAGGTGATCTATCAGGTTTTTGATAGTTGTGAACACCTTTGTAAAGTGGCTTACTTTAGCAGCCGATAAAGTGAGGCTTACTTAAGCATTTGTTTTTCATATTAGATAGACAGGCTTACAATTTGTATTACTGGATGGCATTTGTAATTTATTCTGTGCTAGTCTTGACAGCTTCTTTTGCCAAAGAACTTCCATTGGTTGAGTAGATAATGCTTGGGCTTGCATTCATTTTCTGGAGGAGACATGTATTTTTATGACAAATTTAGTTTAAGCTGATTGTTGCGTGTCTCTCAAAATTCTTTCTGGAAAAGTTAATGTTGATTTAGCTTTCCATGCACAGACGGGAGTAGGATAACCTGGGAACTACAACCTTTTCTTTTATTGCAGTTAGTCTTAGTCGGCATGATCCATCTATATCAATGCAGCATGCAACAACATTTGTTCCACCTCCTTCAACAGCCAGATCCGTATCAATGAGAGACATGGGAACAGAAATGACCCCTATTGCTAGCCAAGAACCTTCCAGGACTGGGACCCCTGTTAGGGCAACAACACCAATGCGGAGCCCAACTTCTTCCAGGCCATCTACTCCTGGAAGAACTGCACCAACTTCATCTCTAAATCCACCTACTGACCATTTGGATTCAAACAAAGATTTGTCAGAAAAGGAATTGCAAATGAAAACAAGGAGAGAAATAATGGTGCTGGGAACACAGCTGGGTAAAATGAACATTGCTGCCTGGGCTAGCAAAGAGGAAGAGGATAAGGATGCATCTACTTCACTGAAAACTTTAGCTCCAGATCAACCTGCTAAAAGTGTCATCGAAATACGTGCAGCAGCATGGGAAGAGGCTGAGAAAGCGAAGTATATGGCCAGGTACCTTTATATTTTCAGATATAGAGGCCTTATTCAATTTTCCACTCATCTAGGAACTTCATTGGTGATTCCCAACATGTAGCTTATGTGATTTGACATTTAAGCTACTTTTCTAGCAAAGGGGTAATATAGTCCAACTGCATTTTCATGCCATGGTTCTTGTCGAGCAGTGTTGTTAATCCATAGTGGGAATATCGCTGCATATGCAATTACATTATTTTTACCACTTCTTGATTGCATATTGAAATTGGTTTTGTGGCTGCAATATTCAGGTTCAAGCGTGAAGAGATGAAAATTCAAGCTTGGGAGAATCATCAGAAGGCAAAAACAGAAGCTGAGATGAGGAAGATTGAGGTATCGTGTATTATCTTGCATTTAAAGGTTTTTTTTTTTCTTTTCCCTGTAGCCATGACATTCTTCCTAACATGTGAGAACATGGTTTTAGAAAAGACAAACCGTGGACTAAAATGTTTTATACTCCTTAAGGCAAGCCAAAAACCTCAAGATGTGAACTTCACGTTATTAAAATTTTCCTTAATTGGGAAGATAGTCCATGACCTTTAACTCAATTTTCAATTTAGTGCTAACCTTTCAATTGTTGCAATCAAGTCCATAATCTTTTTATTTTCTAAATTAGTCACCCAGTTAACTTATCACTTAAAACAAATAGAGGTTTGGACACATCATTACTGTGTGGAAGTAATGACATGGTGCTGTCTTGTGGATTAATATGCTGAATTCAAATCCTATTCAATTTTAAAGATCCAAACTTGATTTGTAAAATACCATCTCTTCCAGCTCCATTCTCTGTCTGTCAACCCAAGCTGTGTAAATATATTTTATTTAGTTCTTGTCTGGACTCTTTGTAAATTTTTAATCTGTGTAAAACCTATGTCATTAATTTTTTATGGCATAGCTGTCATGTCGTGATGACGTGTCCACAAATCTATCTATTTTAATAGATAAGTTAATTCAAAGACTGATCTAGAAAAAATATAAAAGATCAGCAACCTAATTGCAGTAACCAAAAAGGTCAGGAACCTAAGTAGAAAAATGAGTTAGAAAAGTCAGGAAACATTCTTGCAGTTGAGAGCCTTAAAAAGTTATTTCCAAAACACTAATAAAAGTGTAAAAACAAAAAAGAAAAAGGAAAATGTCAAGGAATTTTAGTAGAAAATAAGGGCAAAGGGCTATAGACTTTCTTTCTTCTTTTTTTTTTGTGTGGGGGGGTGGGAG